AGCGGGCTCGAACCGGCAACCTTCCGATTACAAGGCAACCTCCCAACTCTTCAGGCCCCTCTTCTGTGGAACCAGCTTCCAGTTTGGATTCAGGAGACAGACACTATCTCTACTTTCAAGATTAGGCTTCAAACTTTCCTTTTTGCTAAAGCATATAGTTAGGGCTGGACCAGGTGACCCTGAATCCTCCCTTAGTTATGCTGCAATAGACGTAGGCTGCCGGGGATTCCCATGATGCATTGAGTTTTTCCTTTCCAGTCACCTTTCTCACTCACTATGTGTTAACAGACCTCTCTGCATTGAATCATATCTGTTATTAACCTCTGTCTCTCTTCCACAGCATGTCTTTATCCTGTCTTCCTTCTCTCACCCCAATCGCAGCAGATGGCCCCGCCCCTCCCTGAGCCTGGTTCTGCCGGAGGTTTCTTCCTGTTAAAAGGGAGTTTTTCCTTCCCACTGTCACCAAAGTGCTTGCTCATAGGGGGTCATATGATTGTTGGGTTTTTCTCTGAATCTATTATTGTACGATCTACTGTACAATATAAAGCGCTTTGAGGCTACTGTTGTTGTGATCTGTATAAATAAATTGAATTGAATTGAATTGAAGTCACAGGATCTCCAGGATGCTGCCGAGCTGAAACATAATCACCTAAATACAACAACACTTTATAAAATGGTATAAAGGTTGGCATATCATGTGATATGTCACAAATTATAGTTAAAACGTGTTTGTCTTCCTGACTGATGAGTGTTGTTTCTGACCATATGGATCCCTTCATGACCATCTCTAAAGGTCTCTTCTAGCCAGATAATGTCATGGAGTCAAACTGGACTCAATAAGTTATTAAAACCAATGGCAGAGATTTGATTACAGCGCTCCATCAAAATTTGTGTCTTTTTTGAATGGTCAGATCTTACAAATTGAGTTCAGAGAAGTTCAGGAGCCCAACTCTCCAGATCTGAACCCAGTAGTGAACCTTTAGCATGTGTTGCTGTGGGTTATGTGGCTTAGGTGTAACCGCAGCCTACACCAGCTGACCAACTAACTATTAAGTCTGGTCGATTCTGTTCATCTGGACGGTCTAGATGAACAGAGTCGACCGTTTGGGATTTACTCACCTGGATGATTGAGCATGCATCAAGACATATTGAGTCCGGTCCCACTTCTGCTGTTAAAAATGTTGTGAATTTTTTTTTTTAATTTAAAAAAAAAAAAAAAAAAATGTTGTGAATGGAAAACCCAGAGTTGTAGCTGCTGCTATCAGTTGGTAAATTTACCAGTGAGCCTTTGAGTAATTTTCAGAAAGCAACTGAAGCAACCAGGTACAAAGCTGCAAGGTTTGTACCTGGTTGCATTATAACAAAATAATATGTGTTTACCTGAGATTTGCCCCCAGAGATAACTGAGTCCTATTCTCTATCACCAGAGTTACAAGCTCGCTGTTGAGCTCAAACCAGACCAATCACAGGCCTGGATGAACATGGGAGGAATTCAGCACATCAAGGTAAAAAAGACACATTTAAAATCTGACAATACAACTGAACACTCCTGACAAACTTTACATGTGTCCGACATCTGCGAGCATCAGCATGTACTGTGATGTTTGTGCTATATAAAGTTCTGTCCTTTCTACCTCACTCTCTAAATCACTACTGGGGTGGTTGCCCAAGATGTCTGCTGGCTCGTACTGCCCAAGTCTTCCACTACAGAAACCATGTTAGAGGCTGACAGAAACCAACAGCTGTCCTTGGGAAATGGGCCTTGTTGGACCCATCCACCGGTTTGAGCCCAAACCGCACGTCCATTTATTTCACCCCATTCACTCACCCCCTTCTGTCTCAAAAAGGTCATGGAAACATGTGCAACAGCTGTGAAGCTGAACTACACATAAGCTGCTAGCAAAAACAGTGTCGTGTTGTGCTGTGATTTTGATCCAGGTCAGGCAGATTTAAACCCAACTCAAAATGACCTCAACCTAATGGCAGAGCTCAGCGGCAGCAGGCAGGTCTAATGTGAAATCAGATTTGTAATATGTGTGTGTTTGTTTAGGGAGATTATGCAGCTGCCAGGATGTACTACCAACGCGCCCTCCTTCTCAGTCCAGGTTCCAAACTTCTGAAGGAAAACCTTGCCAAGCTGGACCGACTGGAGAGGAGACTGACAGGGGCTGTGTAGACTGGTGCCAGTGACACGACACAGTGGGACAAACACTTGCTCTGGAGCCCAAAGACCACCCATTAAGACTGTTAAATAAACTTAGTCTGTTATGACGATGGGCTGCGTGTAGGAGAGAAAAGAAGTAGGGTGAACCTCTCAGGCCTTCAAAGAGACTGGCCCCCAACTACAGGCCCAAAGCCTTTCCTGAAGGATACAAAGAGAAGCTGGTAAGAGCTCTGTGCATTACCAGCCTGCATCAGCTTTTCTTCAACATGCATATCTGTTTTCAACATTTGCGTTTCATTTTCTTTAAGGCACTTAATCAGAGATCTTCCTGAGCTCTGTGCTCTGCCTTTGAAAATGATTCACATATTTACATTAATGCAATAAAAGTGTGCAGATTTAATGAAGGGAACGAGTGGGCAGGTATTTTCCTGACCCTAAGGTATGAATAATAAAATGATGTAGGTTCAGAAGTCACCTGTTTACTTTGGGGTTCTTTCAGCTCATGGACACGGAGAACATCAGAGCCCACTGTTTCATGCAAACAAACCATGTCCCAACCTGACATAAGACACCTACACTTCACACAAAGACATTTTTGTGAATGAATGCCCATAAACGGAGGTGTATCGATTATTTTTATGCTTTTGCATGAATTAATATTGAAGACAAATCTCAAATCAAGACCAAGTCACTTGGTCTTGATTTGAGATTTGGTCCAAGTGTAACCTAACTGTTGGTAAGCCTCAGAGCCAAACATTTATGATGTTGGTAACGTCCAGCTTCTGAAAATTCCAAATCCCAGCCAGCAATGATTTCCATCTCCGTCAGTATCACAGCAAGCCAACTCACACAAACTCTTGGAATGTGCTGTCATTTGGATTGTTGTTCTTTATCAATTCAAAATGAAGCATCTCAGCAAAGTTTTTGATTACTTATTATTTTAAAATGAGTGGTAGTACAATGTGGCTTTGGAGTTGGAATCAATCAGGCACATTTAACTCTGAGCAACTCTGAAATTCAGCAGAGGAGCTCTTTGCTGAAACAGTGTCTTGATGCTCTGATATTGTATCCACGGGACACAAAAGTAGTCCCATTTCTGCTGTTACAGTTTATGGCTCCTGCCCTCCAGCAGCTGGGGACTTTCAGACTGCTAACTCTGAACTTCTCTGCAGCAGAAGGAAGTTTTGGCTTGACTGGTTCCTTGTACATTGTTCAGTGGTATAAGTGTAACAATGATATGATTGTATTCTCTGATACATTGTGTCCATCATCAAAAATCACACAGGCAGTGTTACGCTGTCTTGTTTGCAGCATTGTCTGTCCTCAGACTTTTAACTTTACATTTTTAGAAAATAAAATTTCCAAACTCTAATTGAAAATGAGCAAACATCAGATGGTGAATAAAAATTTAAATGAGTTCATTACAGACATCAGATTGCCTCTGTCTATAATGTTTTTTCAGCTAAGATAAGCAACGCACACCGCTATCATACTTGAGCTCCATTCTTGGGCCTCATGATTAAATCAGTAACTATATTAACTAAAGAAGGTTATTTAAAGATCTGCAAAGTAAGTGGAGTTTATATTTGTATATCCCAATGGGAAATAAGGACAGATTCATTTGGATCCCACTCTGCTGGGATATTTAAATGAATATATGTGTAAAGCTCTCTTAAAATGTCATTATTCTGGTAACAGCTGCTTCCTCTCTAGATTACCTAAATCATATTTATCTGATCTCCACTTATGGCAGAAGCTAGAATAAACAGCCTGATGTCACAAGTCTTCAGCAAGTAGAATAAGTTAATGTGTCGGCTCCTGTGTGGAGCTCCAACTTATGGGTTCATGTGCAACATAACCTCTGAGGAATGCTGTTTCGCTGATCGTTGTGGTTTTATTGATTCTCTCGAGTTAATTTTATTGTGGAATGCCAATGAGATGAAAGTGAAGTGATTAGTGCAGTGACTGGGTTGCACCAAGAAAATAAAATATATCTTTTATTAAATGGTGTTTGGAGTTGTTCTTCTTTTAAATGTCTAAGAAAAAAACATGAAATATTCTCAGTAGACTGATTGGGGCTGCAGCTGCAGTAATGCGGACGCTGCACCGGTCCGTCGTGGTGAAGAGGGAGCTGAGTGTAAAAGCGAAGCTCTCAATTTACCGGTCGATCTACGTCCCTACCCTCACCTATGGTCACGAGCTGTGGGTAGTGACCGAAAGAACGAGATCGCGGATACAAGCGGCAGAAATGAGCTTCCTCCGAAGGGTGGCTGGCCTCTCCCTTAGAGATAGGGTGAGAAGTTCGGCCATCCAGGAGGGGCTCAGAGTAGAGCAGCTGCTGCTCCACATCGAAAGGAGCCAGCTGAGGTGGTTCGGGCATCTGACAAGGATGCCCCCTGGGCGCCTCCTGGGTGAGGTGTTCCAGGCATGTCCCACCGGGAGGAGGCCCCGGGGCAGACCCAGGACACGCTGGAGAGATTATATCTCTCGGCTGGCCTGGGAACGCCTTGGTGTTCCCCCGGATAAGCTGAGGAGGTGGCTGGGGAGAGGAGGTCTGGGCTTCTCTGCTTAGGCTGCTGCCCCCCGACCCGGCCTCGGATAAAGCAGATGCAGCTTTCACTACAGCACGTGTGGTACTTTGACCTTTGTACTGTTTTCATCGGTTCATTTTGCAGTTAACATGTTGGATGATCTGTCTGCTATCACTGGGTGTTGCTGAGGTCTGAATCTGAAGGCAGCTCCTGTAATCACAAAGACAACAGAACCATCAAACTCAAATATAAATTTTATCCCTCAAAATTGAAATAAAGCTGATTTTTTTTTTTTTTTTCTTTGCCTGTCCCGTTTGGCTCTTTTGCCATCAGAATTATTGTCTAAAGGCAAAGAAAGATGCCCAACGGATTTACTTTACCAAATTGACCATCCCAGCCTTGCCGTAATGGTCCATTTGATTCACCTTTTATTGTTTATTTTATTTTCACTTGCTGAATACGGGACAGACTTGACTGGGGGAAAGAAGGGGAGAAAGAAAGAGGGAAAGAGAAACAGCTGAGAAGAGGGACGGGGGAGAAGGGCAAAAAACAAAAACCAACAGAATGGGCAGGAAAAAAAATGCATATATCAATCACCTGGGTCACCTGCTGAGAAAGAAAAAAGAAAACAAGCAGAAGAGAACAAGAGTAATAGAATAAACAACATCACAATGATATATGGGAATATGACAGTAAATACTAAATATTAAACATTATTGTGCAGCACATAAGATCAACAGAACACAGTGTGCTTTGAGGTAGGAGCCAAAAAGGGTGTAGTTTGTGGGTGTGATCACCCGTGTGTACACCTGTGAGCATGGACGCGCTTGTTTTTTTTTTTTAAAAGGTTCCTTCATGTAATGATCTGCTAGAGGGTGTGGGGGGGCCACAGCCCCGTCCTCCAGGGCATGAAGCAGGTATGGAGGAGATCAAAACTCCAGACATCCAGAGGCCCCCAGAACACAAGAGACCAAGGAAGACCAACAGAGGGGCAGCCGCGCCACTGTCCCAGAAAGAGCTGAGGAGAGTCCCAGATGAGGGCTCACTCAGCAGCCGCGGAGCAGAAGCCAGGGGGAGTTGCAGTGACGCGCCCGTGAGCTCCGCCGGCAGCCAGCTGTGCCTGAGTGACCGAGCCCCAGGCCGAGAGGCCGGGGGCACCCCACCTCCGAAGTGGCCCGAGCGAGCCCCAGGCTCCAGGCCCCGATAAGCGGCCGCCAAGGAGTGAGCCGGTGTGTACCTGGACGCCCATCCCCGGACACAAAGAACCACCAACGCACCGATGTCTGAGGGAGTCCGCCACTGGCAGGGGAAGTGGTGGTAGGGGGAGATAGGCCTCCAAACCTTGGAGGGCCTGAGATGTCCCCAGAGAGGTGGCGTCTGATACCCAACCTGACATATAGACACAAACATCCATTCCCACCCTCATGCTCTCATATGCACTTACTCCACACTCAACCAACGTGGAGACAGACATAAAGAGACGCTGTACACACGATCACACTCCCCAAGCGTACTCTACGAACCGGGTCTAGGTACCCTTGCCCCTGGAGGGGGGAACTGCACCCAGACCCAGGTGGTGTTACCCTTTTCCCTGCGGTGGGGAGAGGCAGACCGCCCCGACTCCGCAGCAGCAGGGAGGCCCCACACTCCAGACCGCAGTCGGACGGCCAACTCCTCCTCCTAGCCCCCCCGCTCCAGCAGGCCGCAGAGAACGGGGGTGAGAGAAGACTCCAAACCTCCCTCCACCCGCTCATTGTAGTGTTGATGCATGTGTGTTCTAAGGTGCAATTAAAACCCAGGAGGGCATGGAGCTACCTGCCAGAGAGCAGCAGGTAAGCGCATAGCCCTCCTGCTAGCCCTCAATGTCTACGTGTATTAAAATTGAGAGGTGGGCAACGACGCCAGGGGTGAGGTGTACACCCTGATGGTAATTTGGATCCGTGTACGTGCCCACCCCCAAGATCCTATATGTATGTGTAATGAGAGTGTGAGTAATGTGAATGTCTAAGTTGTGGGATAAAATTGAGGCAGAGGCAGCCAGAAGGGGACAGGGGGTAGCCTCCTCTGCACCCTGGTGACATACCCCTACTCCAAGGCCCTGCATGTGTGGGTGGTTGTGGTGGAGCGGGAAGAGGGAGGCAGCTGGAGATGGGGAGGGAAGGAAGGGAGGGGCAAGTGACTCCTCCCTGGGGCCAGCTCCCCCGCTGACCCCAGTAGGCACCCCCATACTCCGCGACCCGCCAGGGAAAGGGGGCCCAGGCCCATCCAGACCGGGGCTGATTCTTCTGTCCTCACATACTCAGGATCTGAAGTTCTTCTTCTCTTAAATTTTTTTCAGTATTACAGTACACTACTGTACTTTAATCCATAGTTCCTGATTAATGAGGAGTTACTGAAGTACAAGCTTTAAAAAAAATGTTACTGTCTTTACAGTATGTGGAAAGAGACTGAAAACATGTTGTTGTTTGCACATATTTAATAATCAGCTCTGCACAGGAGCTGCAGCAGGATGCAGCCTGTTGCTTTTACAGTATAATACTTGTAATAAAAGTACAGTAACAGTAATTAGTGACTGAGCAGCCCGGGGCGTTTCTCTTGATTTCTTTAGTCTGTGTAAATTCATTCACCTGCACAGATTAGCTAAACGAACCCTGACAGCCGAGTGCTCATCTTAGCTAGCTAGGTCTCAGGACCGAGCTAAGGACGGTTAGCTTACGATTAGCTTACAGACACGTTTAACTTACCGAACAAGTGCAGCGGGGCCTCGGGTCCTTCTGTCGGGTAGTCCAGTTTACTGAAGAACACCTCAGGCTAGTGATGGGTCCAGCAACACTGACGCACCGACGCATGTTTTTTTTTTAAAGAACTTTATTTACAAACATACATAACAAGGCACCATCATGAATCCGAATATGTAATATCCTCGGTTGAGCATTATAGCAAGAAAAAACAAACAAACAAACAAAAAACAATAAACACAAAGCCAAAAGAGTTAGCACAAAAAGAAAGACCAGTCATTGAAGGATTTGAACCAAAGGCAAAAAATAACATGAACAAAAAAGGGCAGTCATGATTATAAAATAGGGAGGTTTCTTTTTTAACATAAATTAAATTGTTAAATAAAACAACAAGTTTATGAGCTTTCTTGTTATTCGCAAGTTTCAGCGATTTAGCCCAGAGTTTAAAGTCATTCAGCGATCTGTTTATACATGGTAAGTATCTGCATTTGTGAATAAAATTTTTTCCCATAAACAAAAACGTCCTAATCAACAGGTCAAAATCTGCATTCTCAGCAAGTATACTTCACAGATACTTCACCTCTTTTTTTATGTGTATATTATTTATTGCTTGCAGGGGACACTCATGCAGAGCTAGAATTTCGCTTTTATTAATATTCAGCTGTAGGCCAGAAGCTTTGGAGAAGTGGTTGATCACCTGTACCCACCGACGCATGTATCAAGCTCACAGAGTGAAACCTGTATCGGTGCGTGCGTCGCTTTAAGAAAAAGTCACGTGATCGATACAGCTGCTGTATCGCTCATTGCCAACGCACCAAACTGTGTTTAAAAGGTACCGCATCCGCATCTGCCAACAGAACGAGTCGCCACCAAAAAAACACAAATTTACTCTCGCAAAGATAAAAAAAATACACATCTCTCCATAACAAAATGGAGCCCGACAGAAAAAGAAATGTTTCTGCTGCGGGGGATCATTTTGATCTTTTAACTGCAAATAGTTAGTCTGTCTTTGTTTCAGTGTAATCTATCAGAATAGGAAAAACAGCAATGTGACCTGCAGTGTAAATTATTTATTTTATTTTATGCAGGTTAAATGTCGCATCTGTTCTGCATTTCTTACACAAACAAAAGCACCTCCTCAGTGTTTAGGCATTACAGAGCCAAACATGAAGATGAGGAGATAAACACACCGAGAATGAACACAGGTAGGCCTATACTGACACTGAACAGCTTTATCATCATTTTTTTTTTTTTATTAAAATGTGTTTTATTATTTTGAAATCAAACATCTAGGAAGACTGTTCTGGACCAGGCAGTCCTGAATTTTATTATAAAAGACTGCCAACCCCTTAGTATTGTGGAGAGTGTCGGAGAGAAACATTCCAAGATCAGAGGATCCTTTAACGTACTGGGGGAAAAGGAAGACATCCGAACCTTTTCCACCTGGCTTTACAGTTTTTGTGTACCCCAGCTTCATTTATACCTCTGAGTTTTCCAAAGCTGGGGAAATAAACTCAAACACAATAGACTGAATGCAAAAACATTGAATAAACTTATTTTTCTGAAACTCTGAGTCAATTACATTTAAATGGGTAATATTATATTCACAATACTTTCATTTTAATTTTCACTTAATGTCATTCACAATATTTGAAATGTAAAAGATATAAAATGATTCCATGGAAAGTACATTACCTTACAGTGTAAACAAGTATGACTAGGTCATTGAATCAGTGTCTGTTGTGAGTCTCAAGTAAGTTGCCTGCAATGATATTTAAGGTCCAGCAGGTG